CTGCTCTTTTCAAAGTTACCAATGATATAATGATTGCTTAATATTATGGCTTTTTCTCAGTTGTTATCGTTTTTGACCTCTGCAGCACACTCTCTTGAGTCATCTACCATGGATTTTCTTGCTACTTTTCTCTCCTGGCTCTGCTTCTACCTGTCAGACCATGTTTTCTCAAACTTCTTTGCTGGATTATCATCTATATCCTAACTTTGGTTATGCTTTGAGGCCCTCTTCTCTTTTGCCTCTTGGTGATCTCATCCATTCCCATAGATTCAATTATCATACCTATGGAGATGATTCCTGGATCTACATGTCAAATCTTAGTTTCTCCCAAATTCCAGGTCCATGTCAACAATTACCCAGGACATTTTGAATTGAGTGTCACAGAGGTATTTAAAAAACGTGTTCAAAATCAAAGTTTATCTTCCACAATGAAGGACTCATTCCTTTACTAAACTTATACGTTAAGCGGACCACCATTTTCTCAGTTACTCAGACGCATAAACTTGGTGTCATCCTTGCTGTCACTCATCCCATATATATAATCAAGTGCCAAACCTTATCATGTCTACTTCCACAATATCTTTCCCTTAAGTACCCTTCTTTCCACTTCATCTCTATTGCCCTACTTCAGACACCTATCACTTCTCATCTGAGCTATTGTAACAGCCTCCTAATCAATCTTCTGGTCTTAAGCCTCTCCTTGCACCGCTCTTCCCAAATGGCAGTGATACCATCCTCCTACTCAATAAAGTCTGGTGGCTCCCTACTATCTCTTGAATCAAGGACAATCTTTTTGGCACTTAAATTTTTCACTGCCTGTCACTAATCTGTTTTCTGGCCTTATTACATATTAGTCTCCCCCTCACCCCAACCAGCCTTCATGTATGCTATGGTCCAGCCAATGGCCAATAGTTCCTTAGACGGCATGACAAGACCTTATCAGATTTAGCAACTGATTGTGTAGGCAGGGTGAGTGACAAGAAGAATGACACTAAGTTTGTTAGCCTAGATAATTAGGAGGATGTTGGTTTCCTTTACATTAAAATTTGGAAGAGGAGTGAGTTTTTTTAGAGAAGATAAAATTCTGTTTTGAAATGTCTCTTTTGAAATGCCTATGGCACATCCAGTTCAAAAGGTCCTAGGCAACTGTTGATGTGAACTTGGAACATGAGACCCTAGGATTTGCCATATAGATCTGGGAGTTATCTGCGCAGAGATGATAATTGAACCCTTAGGAGCTGCTGAGATTATTATTATAGAGGCAAAACAGAAGAGTCTAGAACAGAGCCATCTCATTCTTTTGTTCTAGGTACGTCTCCTCGCTCTCTCCCTGACAATCCATTCCCTCCTCACCTCTGCCTTTCTGAATCCGTGGTTTTCTTCAAGAATCAGTTTAAGCACTAGCTTTTGCTTGCCTCCAAAATTTCTAATGCCTTGCTTCCTAAGGTTACCTTTTAGAGCTCTGTAATGTTTTATGTATACCAGTATGCATATATGTCATCTCCCCTTTTATAATATAAAATCCTTAAGGGCAAGGACTGTTTCTCTTTTTATCTTTGTTTCCCCAACCACTACCATACAGCCTAGAAAGTTGTAAATACTTAATAAATGCTCGTTGTTTATTTGGTAGCAAGATCCCCACCTCCAGAACTCCTCAAGTCTTGAGCCACTTGCTTGGCAGTAGAAAAAGGGATTCCTTATCAGGTTTCAGTGGGACTAGATGACCTCTGAAATTCCTTCCAATTTTAGATTCTATGATCCATTGACTGTAGTTTATACACCTTATTTTTCAAACCACTGGATTAGATTGTCTTTCAATATCCCTACCTGTTTCTCAGATTAATTCACCCCTTCAGCCCACTCATAAGTAATTACTAAGTAGTGCTGGACACTAAAATTCTGCCAATTGATTTATACCCCAATAGGAATAACCTTAATTCACTGAATTTAGGCCATTCCATTCCTGGGAAATCTGACCAAATTCTTTTAGGCATTGAGATAAAAAGATTTGCCCTGGGAGCACAATCATCAGCACCCTGAGTTTCTAGCAGAGTTGGCTCTTGATAAAATTACGATATTGGTAGTATTTTACTCAAAATGCCATATCTCTCCTTCCTGCTTCCTTTTCTTACCTTTCAGCCACTTTTGCCACCAAATCCACAGTATTCCTACTGATGTTGAAAAATCACAAATCACCTATAATGAGTATTGCTAATGGGTTAGCCATCTCAGGAGCATTTGTACTATCAAAGTAAGAGTAAGAGAAAAAAAAAAAGAAATGGATTTCTAATAGCATTTCTGGCAGTGCAGCCCATCAGCCCTGGCATCCTATATGTAGCAGAGGTCAAATGGGCCCACATCCTGCCTTGCCCTTTATCATCTGAGGATTCTCCAGTCTTTGGCAGCTGTCACCTGATGCAACCTTGTGAACCCCAATACAAGCCTGTGAATAAGGATGTCTTATTTTCCTCTTTGAAGCCCAAATGCAGAGCAATGGTGACTTGCCCAGGTGACTGGTTTTCTGATCCACAGTGACAGTGTTATTTGAATTTGGGGGGAAATATAGAGATCGCTGGTAGCATGTTAGGTGATGACTGGCAAAGTCTACCAAATTATCTCTCTCAAAAGTTGAACTATGTGTCACAACACATCAAGAATTGAAGAGTGTCTAGCTGATTTGGATTATATGAAATTCCAATATTTATGATGTACCAGGGTTCTAAAAAAAAGAATCTATGTCTTTTATCAAAAATTATTAAAATTATTTAAAATTCCCAGTTTTAGGAAGCCACTTCTGTTAAGGGGTAGCAAAACATTCCACACAGCAGTGATTTTCTGGATGAAAATTAAATAATATAGGTGAAATTGTATGCAAGACTGCTTTAGAAAAAAATGACATTTTTAATATGGATATCTAGCAGCTGCATCAGGGACTGACAGAATCAGCCTTTTCCTGAAGTCCCAGGATAGCAGCAACTGGTAACGGGAGAAGCAAATGCTATTTTCCTCCCACTTCCAAGTTTTATACATTGTTTTGCATTACACAGTCTGAAGGGAGCTGAGTTCATAAATACAGAGCCAAATGTGCCAGTATCAACCAAGGCCAACATTCCTCAGAAAAACTAAGGTGCCCTGTGCCACATTGCCAAACACTGTCATGAGAAAATAGGGAAAGCCACGTGCATCTGAAGCAGGGATGGGGTTGGAATTACTAATAGTACATATCCCTTTCAGGTCGAACATTCATGGAGCCCAAACTCTCATGAGCTCATAAACTGGCTGGATGCTCCCAATCTCTGAACTAGTAATAATGGCAGCAATGTAGCTCACTCTTGGGATCTCTTCATAATTGCATATGCCCTCTCTTAAATAGAATGATATTGCATATTAATAAGACTAGATCACATTCTGCATGTATCTTGTATCTGCAGATCCAAAACCCTATGAGCAAGTAGCCCCATTGCTGTTTGATAGACAAAGAACCTCAGATTATAAGAAGCTCAATAATTTCTCCAAAGTTGCATAGTCAGCAAACATCTGAGTCAATTCTCGAACACAAATTGTGGACTTAGGAGGCTGCTTGGCCGTAGGTGATGGCATAAGTGGAGTAGGAGTCAGGTGGGCCTGAGATCAAGCCCTTCCTCAGACACTTAACTGGCCTGTGATCCTGGCAAGTTACTTAACCTCTCTTTGCCTCAGGTTTCCAATCTGTGAAATGAAAATAATATTATCACCTAACTAACAGAGTAGTTGTGAGGATCAAATGAGATAACACACATAAAGCACTTTGCAAACCTATGCAAATCTTTTATATTTTTCTTGTTATTTTGGATGCAGTCATTTTCATGCATCTATCTGATAAACTGATCTCTTTAGAAGATTCTTCCTCTCACCACTATTCTCCCCAAGAGTTACCAAAATAAAAAAAAGAGTTATATAAGGGAAAGAACACTCTCAATAAGAAACCATTAGATCATATGATAAAATACTGGCCAATCCAGTTGGTGATTCTAACACCCCAACTCTCCCACTCCTTCATTCCCTACCCTAACAGCTCTTTTGCTGGAGAAAAGTTCATCCAATTTCTCTTCTAAATGTTTAGGATTTGGGAATACCAAAGCAATCATTCTCATACTCCCAAAGGAAGGGTTGGTCAAGCAACCCACTAATGACAATAGCATTAACCCTCAACTCTGCTGCTTTCTCCTAAAGCAACACTTCCAAGAATAACTTGGTTGAGGTGTGGAATATCCAAGGAACATTGCTGTAACTGGCAAGAAGTCTGAGGTCTAAGGTCCCTGTAGAAAGAGACAAGGTCTCTTTTCCAAGGTCTCTCCTTTTGTGTGTTTGTGGGAGCGGGGGGGGGGAAGGAAACCTTAGATTCAGAGGAATTCTGTCACTAGATGACCTTGAACAAGTCAATTCAAAGAACTCAGTCACAGTTTCCTCCTCCATGAAATAGTAATAATAGTTGTCACATCTACTTCACTGAGCTGTTGTGAGAAAATCATTCTATACACAGTAAAGGCAGGGAAGGGAGAGTGTAAACATCTTTATAGTACCTACTATGTGCCAGGAACCATGCTAATCATACAAATGTTATCTTCTTTGATTCTCACATCATACCCTGGGAGATAAGGCTATTATTAGTCCCATTCTACAGCTGAGGAAACTGAGGCAACCGGAGATTAAGTAATATGTCCAGGATCACACAGCTAGGAAGCTTCTAAGGCCAAATTTGAATTCAGGTCTTCCTGATGTTAGGCTCAGCACTCTAGCCACCACACCACCAGCTAACGCATCACATACCATGAACTATTATTATTCAGGGCTCTCATTTTTATTCTGAATCACTACTCTACACTAGTATGGGGGTGGCAGAAGAGCTGCTACTGCTGCTACAGCTTCCTGTGTTCTAGCTCTCCACCTTTGGTTTCTATGGGGAGAGTTTGCACACGAGGCATGGGAGTCAAGACCCAGGGGCCCCAGGAATAAGGTACCTGCGTCTCCAAGAGCTTGGAAGTCCCAAACGCCCCCTCCCAGGCAGCTCCATTCCTGTTAGCAGTTGTTAGATGCACATTCCTCGCTCAGTGGTACCCCAGACACATTTCCAGCAAACGATGTGGCACACACAGGAATTCATCCGAGCCCTGCAAAAATCATTTAGCTTAATAACGCTGCCCTGATTTAATTTTAACTTTTCATAAAGCACAAGAGACTGGGAGGGTGTGCTTAGTGTTTTGTGTATTACTGATGAGCCTGCGTTCACATCTGGCTCTTTCTCTTGCTCTCTTTCTCTTTTTAATACAAGTTAGAAAAAGGAAGGGAGGGGTGGAAAGGAAAATAAAGTTGGCATAGGATCAAGAGGAGAGCACACCTGCAAAATGTGCAGCTTAACATTTTCTCTGCATGTCAAGAGAGGGTTTGGGTTACTAGGTGTGTGTGTGTGTGTGTGTGTGTGTGTGTGTGTGTGTTTGACAGACAGAGAGAAAGGACAGGATGAGAGAGAGAGAGAGAGAGAGAGAGAGAGAGAGAGAGAGAGAGAGCTTAAATGTGTATTTAACAGGCAAGAACCAGTGACCACTGGAGACTTGAAATCATGACCTTCATTAATAAGTTCTAAGTTGTAAATATGAGCCTTATTCAGGAAATATGTCCACACAGAGACAAATAATACAGGGTACAGAAAAAGAGAACAAGTCGGGGAAGTATTACCTTTTTCCTTTCTACATGCATATAGCTTCTATGTGGATACAAAATATTTAGGCTATATGTAACCAAAGAAAATGAGCAGCTATTTCCATAGACCCATACCCTTTATATGTCCAATAACCATGCCTATAAGTAACACTGTTTTCCATTAGGAACAACATTAAAATCAGGGGAACTATGGGCTTGCCACTTCTTCTACCTCCTGAGATATGTGACAGCATGTCTCATTCCATGGTCCAGCACAAAAAAATTCCTCTCCCTAGAACCCTGGACCAAGAAGGTTGCTTCTCCCCCTCTAAAATGGCTGTCTTTATAGAGAGTCAATGTTGACTGTCAGTCAAGTCAAGAATGCATGAGAAGAGCAGGTTTGGGTTAGAATATTACAGCCTTGTTTTTGTGGTGGCAAAAAATTGGAAATTGAGAGGATGCCCATTAACTGGGGAATGGCTGAACAAAATGTGGTATATGAATGTAATGGAATACTATTATGCTATAGGAATTAATGAACAGGCAGATTGCAGAAAAACTTGGAAAGACTTACATGAACTGTTGCTGAGTGAAGTGAGCAGAACCAGAGGAACATTGTACACAGTAACAGTAACATTGTGCAATGATCACCTTTGATGGACATGGCTCTTCTCAGCAATACAAGGATTTAAGACAATTCCAAAAGACCCATGATAGAAAATGCTATCCACATCCAGAGAAAGAACTATGAGGTCTGAATGCAGATTAAAGCACACTATTTTCACTTTTTTTGTTTTTTCTTTCTCATGGTTTTTCCTTTTGTTCTGATTCTTCTTTTACAGCCTGACTAATGTGGAAATATGTTTAGTATGATTATACATGTATAACCTAAATCAGATTGCTTGCCTTCTTGCAGAGAGAGGAGGGGAGGGAGAGAAAGAGTTTGAAACTCAAAATTTTATAAAAGTGAATGTTGAAAACTATATTTACATGTAATTAAAAAAAACAAAGTACTATTAAGTAGGAAGAAATAAAAACAATAAAAAAATAAAGAGTATTAGAGCCTGAAGAGGCACCCTAATCCATTACAGCTGTCTCTAGCCAAAGATGACCTCAAAAGACTCTACTAAGATAAGAACCTTTCCTATCCCTAAGGACCACCAGAGAAATAGATTTCACAGGCTCCTTCAGGAGCTCCTTCCATTGTTTAACAACCCTCTCTCTCAGAAAATTATTCTTTACAATTGTAGTGAAAAGGGCCTGGGTATTTTAGTGCACAGCAAGCTCAATATGAGTCAGTAGTGTGGCACGGAACCAAAAAAGCTAATCTGAGTCTAGACTGAATTAACAGGAGCACCAAGTCCTAAGCAAAGGGAGGAGACATACCTTCTGGCCTCTGTCCTGCTCAGATCCCATATGAAGGATTAGTGTTCAGTGCTAGGCATCACATTTTAGGAAAGACATTGATGAACTAATAGCTAGCATTTACATAGCACTTTAAGGTTTTCAAAGCACTTTACAGAAATTATTTCATTTGATCCTCACAGTAACCCTGGGAGGTAAGTGGTATCATTATCCCCATTTTACAGATGAGGAAACTGAAACTGAGAGAAGTTGTGACTTGCCCAGGGTGATATAGGCACTAAGTATATGAGGTAGAATTTGAATTTGGGTTTTCCTGACTCCAACTCCAATGTTCTCTCCACCTAACTACCTAGAGAAGATCCAAACAATGGCCAGTATGATGACTGGCTGAGAGCTAGTTGAAGCAATTAGAGACATTGAGCTTGGAGGAAGTGTGATAACATTCAGGTTTTTGAAAGGCTGTCATATGGGGGTAAAAGAAGGGAAGAGAACAAGTATTCATATAACACCTACTATGTGCCATGGACTACGCTAACTGCTTTTCAAATATTACCTTATTTGATCCTCACAACAGCTTTCAGAGGTAGATTCTATTATTATTTCCATTTTATAGTTGAGGAAACTGAGGCATAGAATGATTAAGTAACTTGACCAGGGTCACACAGCTAGTAAGTGTCGGAGGCTGGATTTGAACTCAGGTCTTCCTGACTTCGGAACTACAAACTTCTTATCTACTCCATCACCCAGCTACCTATTGTGCTTATAAGGAAGAGGGATTCAATTTGTTGTTCTTGGAATCATAAGACAGAACTAGGAGAAATGGGAGAAGTCACCAAAAGACAGGTTATGGCACGCTGTGAGTTTATTTAAAAAAAAATCTTCCTAAGCCTAAGTAGAATGGGCTGCTTTAGGACATAGTTCCCCAGTGTTGGAGGTCTTCAGCAGAGGGAAGATGACAACTTGTCAGGGATGCTGTCAAGGAGATTTTTGTTTAGGTTCTGGTTGGATCAGGTGATCTCTTAAATTCGACCCTTTCCAACTGTGAGATCCCAAATTCCTTTTTTCTCCAACTACCACCCCCCCCATTCTTCACCTCTATTACTGCTTACTATAAGCATCTAGCTTCTGTCTGCCAACTCCTGGCTCTCTCCCCTTCAACCCATTTAGGGTACCATGGCTGGGATAATCCCATTGCTCAAAGTAGCCAATTGGGTCCACAGTAGGGCAGCGACTACTACTCACAGATTGCTATTCCTCCTTCATTCTTGAAGAGGACCAATGATGTCAGGAGGCTCATGTCTTGATTTGTAAGTGAATTGGATTTAAATGAGGCAGGACTGTGCAAAGTCATCAGCCTCACTATAAAATGCCACTATCATGCCCCCATTCAAACATCATCAGTGGCTCCATTCCCCCAATATCACAACATAAAATTTAAACTCTGGCTTTTAGGGCTGTCCATATTTAACCATTAACTCTACCTATCCAACCTTATCTCACACGATTCTCCAAACATACCCTGCATTACAGTCAAACTTTCTCCTTGCTGTGCTATACTCACTATTTTTTGTGCTTGAGAGCTCTCAACCTTCAATTTTTTTTTCTGTTCTCTACCATAAAAGTGTCAAACACCAAACATGGGGCCAATGGACCACATGTGGCCCTCAACGCTTCCAAGTGCAGCCAGAACCAGATTAAACTGTAACTGGGAAATAAGTAAAAATACAATAAAATGCAAATAATATTAAATTTTAAAACTAAGTCAATATGTGGCTTAGTGGGATCCTTATGTATGGTTTGGTGGCCCCCATTTCTATTTGAATTGGATACCACTGCCCTAGACTGATCCACCTCCAACCCATGCTTCCTTTCTATTGACTTTACTTTTTTACCTTTTAATTACCCAGATTGGTCTCTACTGACTCCTCCCAATGCTCTCCAACTAGTTTTCCGCATTACACTTCAATTAAGAAACCAAAAACAAGTTCTGCACTCTCATCTAAGAGTTCAATTTATGTTCAAAGGGAAGATCAGCTTGCCTTTGGCAAGGTTTACCTTAAAAGTTAAGGTCAGACAGAGCCAGAAACTTCATTAGGCGCTGAAGCCTTACAAAGAAACACCAAAGGTCTAACAGTCTACAAGGATAAGAAATTAGGTGCCAATGAAATGTAAACTCACATTGAGGTAATAGCCTGGTACTAGAGACAAGAGAAATTGACTCAAGTCCTAAACTGCAGGTCACACTATGTCACCCTCCTACTTAATAAACCCCAGTGGCTCCTTATTACTATAAGGATCATATATAAACTCTTCTATTTGGCATTTAAAGCTCTTTATAACCTGACTACTTCTGCCTTTTGGATCTTTTTACATATTACTTTCCTCCATGTATTCTATGCATTAACTATTGTGGTCTGCTTGTCATTCCTCATATGTAACACTCCATATTTCATCTCTGTGCTTTTGCTGACCTCAATGTTAAGTATACTCTCTCCTCCTCATCTCTGCCTCTTAGAATCCCTGGCTTCCATCAAGATTCAGCTCAAACGCCACCTTTAGCAGGAAGTTTTTCATTCTTCCCAGCTGCCAGTGCTTTGCTCTGAGGTTACTTGGCATTTATTTACTCTGTATGTGCCATATATATATATATATATATATATATATATATATATACATGCTCTCTCCTCCATTAGAATGCAAGCTCCTTGAGGGAAGGTATTGTTTTTGCTTTGTCTTTGTACCCCCTGCATTTAGCACAGTGTCTGATGTGTTGTAAGCACTTAATAAATAAGTACTGATTAATAGACTGACTGAAAGTCCTAGGAAGTCACCCTTCATAACCCTGCTCCCTCCTACCTTTCCAGTCTTCTTACACTTTCCCCCCTGTCCCCTCCCCAGATATACTCTACAATCCAGGTATACTAACCTTCTTCCTGTTCCTCAAACAAAATACTACTCCTGACTCATGGAATGGCTCTCTCTCATACCTGGAATTGTCTGCCTCCTCATCTCCATCTCTTGGCTTCCCTGGCTTCCTTCAAGTTTCAGCTGAAATCCCACCTACGAGAACCTTTTTCCTAGCCCTCTTTATTCTGCCGCCTTCCCA